TCTGATTGGAGCAGCCACTGCTCTCACTGCATTTGCCCTTCTCACAGTGTGGAGACGGCCCGGTCGAGGTCTGTCACATACATATAGGATCTCATATCAATTTATAGTGCTGTACACGAGAATACGGCTGAAACTCAAAAGTTTCAAAGGGTTAAAGATCTTTGACCTACATTTTCCAACTTTGTGTAAGGCGATCACAGCTATTCGGTTTTCTTCATCACTCCACTCCATGTTAACTGAGCGAAAGAAAAACGCAAACTAACTGGGATTATTATCCTGACATGTAAAGTAAATAACCTGATAGAGGTAAAGATTATCTAAACAATACACAAGGATGTAAACAAAGCTCAACTTTGTAACAGTATTTATGGCCGAACTAGCTACATAGTAAATAAAAACATCTTTTTATTTAAATGTAGTAAGTAACTTAAATGCAGAAATATAATTTAAAGGACTAAGCTTTTTCAGTACAGGAGGCCTCAATAATCCGAACAAGAAAGAAAAAATGTTTAAGTCGACTAACGAGAGACAGAATGGAAATGGCTCTGCTTCTCAGTACATATTACTGAAATTGCTTTGTGTGGTTGTGTCGAAATCGTATAGTAGTGTCTCTAAACGGTAAACATTAAAACTAGAAAGTCATCCAGAAGTTGAAGAATCTCTTTAAATGTGGATTTTACATCATTTTACAATTAGGATTTGACAGCAGAGATTACGAGGGTTTCCAATTTCTAGGAATATATAAGCTAAAAAGTCAATTTTTTTTTAAACAATATTTTTAGGGATTATAAAGCATATTATAATCACAGTAAGGCTAGCTTGGTAATTTCAAAAGCAGGTACAGAATATGTTTTTAACATTTTACTGGAAAATGTCTTTGAGCCAAGCCAATTTTATTTCTCATTATAGGCAACCCATTTCAAGGCAACAGTATAGGCAACAGTAACGCTATAAAGGAATTTAATACTCGCTTGGAGAGTGGGCTTATGGATACAAGGTTGCCTGGTACTTTTAAGGAATTTTTGAGATCAGGCATTATCTTTAGCAACAAAATCAGAAAAGCAAAGTACATTATATGATCATTTTAAGAAATAATGTTTTAGATTTTTTTTTTTTCATGAAGACATGAAGATTTAAAACTAACTTTGATTTTAACTATTATGCTCAAACAAACAGAATATGATTCTGAGTATATAAACTGCTTAACCAGAATATGAAGTTTTATACATTATAAAAGCTGAGAGGATTGAATTTAATTTATGTATATTAGGTTTAATCACTGTAAAGATAACATGAGTAAATACAAAACAAACAAATTTGATAAGAGAGAAACATATTTAAAACTATAAAGATCAAGATTGTGTTTTTCTAATAGAAGGTTATAATTTAAATTCATTAAACTACTAAAAAAATATTTATAATTTTTACCATAACCTGACAGAAAATAATCAAGGTATTTTATTGGTCACATTTTATTTTTTTATTACTATAGAAAATGGTTAATAATGGATTCAAGTCTAAATTAATATTTATTTCAAATAATATTCTAACGTCTTAGAAAAATATTTTTTCCATTCATCAAAAGAAAAAAGGAAAACTGTATGAAGATGTATTTATTATAAATAATATTAAATTTAAAGCAATAAGAAATTTGAACATAATGAAAAAAATATCTTACAAAGCCTATAGAACCAAAATAATATATTTTGAACAAAAATTGACAATATAGCATATATATATATATATATATATATATATATATATATATATATATATATATAACACTTAACTTATGTGTGTATTACATATATTATGTATTACATTCTATTTTTTAATTAATTTATTATTTTTACTTTTCATCATTCATATTTAAATATTTTCGGATTGACTGATGGTCAAGAATATTGCATCATACATAACAGTACTAAATTAATTTATGAATCAATTATTTACTTTTTTATTTGGAAATTCCATTGTACACAATGATAGTATAATCAATGTGAAAGGTCTAAGGGGTTGAGAATTCCTCATTCCAAAAAGTACAAAAAAAAAAAAAGAAAAAGATTATCATTCCTAAATGATAGAAGACCATGCACGATTTCTTCAATGACTCAGATAACAAGAGGTCATCTGTATAAGATGTAGAGATTTGAGATATTGTCAGAAGATTAATTAAGCGTTTTTTTTAATTTTAACTATCAAGATTTTTTTTTTCTCTCCAAATACCTTTGGGTGCAATTGATTCACTTCATAAAACATAATAATAAATACAAATAAAATAGGATAGAGAGAGTTTTTTAATTAAATGACAAAACCATAGAATAAAAAAAAACACAATTAAGACACCGTACCTTTCCTCCAAATTGTCCGATTTCGACGATTTTTTAAAATTTCGTAAACATCTAAATAACTATAACAGCAACAAAAAAGTGTCAACTTTTTGAGTTATTCGGAAATCTGATTTAACTATCCCTTGTAACTTTTTTTCCAGCTTCTTTTTCTTAAAGTATGTTATATAGAAAAATTTAAAAGAATACTTTAGCCAAGTTTCATTAATATCGTTACATCCGTTCAGCCGCTACAGTCTATACGACTCAAGTCTTTCTGGCACCATCTTGAAAGGAAAGAACTTTTCGGTGAAGTATGATCTATACATATATTTAAAAGATATCGAGGAGAAGACTTTCGGCAAGTTTCATTGAAATTGATACATTCATTTATGCGCTACAATCTATACCAACGCAGATTTTTCACTCGTCAGCTTGAAAGGAAAGGATAAATAGTAATGTCGAGGTAGGAGGATCATCCTCCGGTTACCTCTGACTTTCAATTCTAAATTTCAAAAAAAATCGGTCCAGTAGTCTTAGAGAAAATGAGTGGACAAACAAATTTTTTTTTATTCGATTTTCGAGTTCTACGAATCCTAAAACGTAAAATCTCGATTTTCGAGGGGGAGTTAAGTTTAGAATTCTGTTTTAAAAATTGTTTATAGTTCACTATTGAAAATAATAAATCAATAAAATAACAAGAGTGATACGATATTTTAGTTATCATTTCATATTTATATTCTATTCATGCCTGAATATTATTTATAAAATATAAGTTGCACTATATACATCTTGTTTTTTATACTTAGCCCTCATGAAAGCCTTATACGCAGGTCGAAAGGTTAAAATAAAATTTATAATATCAAAGAAAACATTTTATTTTGCCCTTATACATTTATTCAATGCTTTAATTCATTTAAAAATAATAGGTAAGCCCACAGCTCACAGTTAATATTAGGCTGTTGTTTTTAAAGTTGACGAAAATGTGTAGCATTGGAGTAATTTTAAAATAGTTTTTATTTTCTTGACTGTCCACAGTTGGTGTTTAGAATTGACTATTCATGAATTTTATAATTTAAAAGATTTTGAGGAGATAAATTTTTCAATAATTATATAAAATTATGATTATATAAATTATATAATAATGATATATAATTATTCAACTTGAAAATGGGCAAAATTGCTTGAAATGTCGTAAAGAAATTTAAATTAATTAAAGCATTGAAGAAATGTATAAAGGTAAAATAAAGTGTTTTTCTCGATACTATAAATTTTATTATTAATATGTAGTACCCTTGAAAAATTTTGAAGATTTAATAATAAGTTTCACTTTTCAATCTTTTTTTCTTCATTGACTAATCTCCAATCAACTTCTCCTTAAATTATATCCACAGACAAATACATATAGAAGATGCTGCTTGATTTTCAAATTTTTGTAATCTAATTAATTATAATTAATTAATCCTAGTGCTAGACTAATGAAGACCACGCAAATATGTTCGGAGGGCGGAGGTGATACATACTTCATAATGGACATAGATCATAGTTCAATCATTTATTATGAGAAGAATATAGAAGCCCATATCTGGGGGGGGGGGAACTTTATCACCACTGAGATGATGTTAACAACCAGTGAAATTAAATTAACAAGTTTTATGCCACTTAGATGGGTGGGCATAATACCTCTCATGATCACACTATAAATGCGATTCCGAAAATGACTGAGCATTGATGAAGTGTCCACAGTTATACTCTCACTTTATTTAGATTGCTTTTTTGTACGTCTAAGATCTTCGCGAGCTCTTGTGCCCAACCATCGAAGCAAAATAGTACCAAAAAAATGTCTACATAAGCCAAAGTGCACACAATCTACTGACAATTCTTTCTTGTTTATCTTATCAATATACTTTTCGTTTACCATGGACCATAATTACATATAATATTTTAATTATTAAAAAAATAAACATGTGATAAGTATCTCTTGGCAATGATGGAACCTAGGATACCATCACTAGCATTATGAAGAGAAACAGTAAATATTAAGGCTTTAAAATGATATTTAGGAATCTACTGAATGGGTCTTGATGTACAACTCGATATCTTTAAAACCCTACATGAACTTTCTCACCAACTTACTAGTGCTGGATTATTGATAACACAAAAATTTTAAAATTATATTAGTTAAGCAATACTGTAAATTAATTTCTTATTTCAATTAAAATTATGTTCACTCAGTTTGTGTTAAAGGTTATGTATATTTTTAAAGTGAATAAAATTGTTCTGATAATAATTTTATTCAAAATATGTAACAATAGAAACCTTAAAAAAGGCTTTTATTCCTCAGTACTCTTAAAGGTAAGGATGTCTCAGAGTCAACAGTTATTAGTAAGTGATGAAATTCATCTGATGCAACAGGCCACTACCAATACATCATCTGCTGATGAAATACCTTACTGATGACAAAATTAAAAATACAAAGTTGAAACCTAGCAAGGATGAAAGAACTGACGATGGGTTAGAATACAGAGATGAAGCTTATGCTAGAACTTTGAATAATCAGGAAACTTTGCAACGAGAATTTGCGAATTAAAATTTGGATAATTAGAATTTGGCATAGTCAGAAAAGGGGTACATACTGAAAACCATTTGTTAATAAATAAAAGCTTGACCTACCTGCAACTGCACCACACAGTGCTCCTTCACTCGGTGTTGGTTCTTTACCACCCCTCATGTTTCTGAAGTTCGTCTTGAAATACTCCCAGAGCGGAAACTGGATAATCGAATATGGAGCGTCTCTAAGTACGGTAGTCCAAAATCCTCGATAAAATCCCAAAGGACCTTCAGTTCTTATTACCGTTCTTATAATAGACAATGAACTACCTTCATGTATGCAGGCTTGGCGCCGTTGTTTAACTATTTCAGTAGGAACTCGTACTATACAGGAAACCTATGAATTAGATCATAATTTTGTTTTTTTTCATATATATATACAGTTTTGAAATTGATTCATGCATTAACGTGACTGTAATCACTTACTACTTCACTTATAGCAGCAGCTGACATATGAACCATGAAATCCTGATGGGGTGCGACAAGAGGCTGGATGGCATACTTGAAACCATTGTATGTTAAAAAAAATGAGGCAGCTGAAATGTTTTTTTAATCTCTGAATAATCGGAAAATATATTTAAAAAATAAAATAAGATAGCTAAATTGAATAACACTAACCACATGGTGCGGAACCAACCGCTGTAGGTCCAATACCTTTGTACACCCCCCTAAAACCTCCAGATTTCCAAAATCCATACTGGCTTTGCAATCTTGTTTTTAATGTGTCAAGAGGAAACAATGCGCAATCCACCACTAAACCAGCTCCAGCACCAGCCTATAAAGTTAGAGGTCTATAAGTCCAATAAATTTGTCTCCATATTTCACTGAAAATATATTTTTTTAACAATCATCAACTAACAATGCACTCACAAAGAGAGTTGTCTTGGGAGACCTTTCCACCTCTTGTAATACTCTTTTTTTGCGAGGAGAATTTTTCGCCGACATGTTATTTTATGTTAATCCCTTCTTCAAATAACATCGATGGACTTGAAGTCATAGCAAAAAACACACCCGTGAAACGTCATAAATTATATAGCCCTGAAAAGAGGGACAGATATAAGAAAGCTATCAAGAGGTTATGTTCAGGTTAGATTGCCTTCTCAGCTCATTGCTCTAGTTTTCTCTACACCGGTCTCATTTGAAGTGACGTGAATCAGCTGGATTTGAAAAAGTTAACAAGATAACTGATTATTGTATTTTTTGGGACATTTTAAATATTCCTAGAGGTAATTTGAACTTATGTACATTTAAATTATCAATTTTATTCTAAAGATGATGTCATTTATTTCGAAAGAAAACATTGTTCAAGGTTACTATTTTGTAAGATCACCTGACTAGAGTCTTCGTGTTGATTAGCTGGCACTAAACACAAGTTTCTCTTGTAGTGCTATGTTATTTACTGTTTAGTGCATGGAATAGCTTTAACTTATTTTAATTTTACCATTTTTCAATTTCTCTTATAATAATGAATAGTAGTTTAAAAAATTTTATAGACCCATTTTTATTTGTACTCTAATGTGTGCTAAGTTACATCCAACCTTAATTTATTATGGGAAAAAACTTTTTAAAAAGCAGTCTTCAAAATGCATCTTTTAATATAATTTTTCAGGTAATTTATCACTTTAATTTACAGCTAATTTTTTCTGTCCCAAAGCTGAACGATAGTCATGTTATGTTAATTTCTTGAAATTAAAATAAGAATCAATTACTTCATCCTATTTAATTTAACCTTCTTTCATTTTTGTTTTTCAGCTCTTATTTCGTGTTGTTACATTCCTTCTAAATGCATTTGTGCTACGAAACATTTCTCAAGCAGTTGTGGGTGTTATGAATGTACGTCTTTTACTGTTGGAGTCGACAATTTTATTTTTGAGCCGAGAAGCATTCAGAAGAGCGTGTTTATCCAAGACTACAGAACACAATTGGCCCCAAGTTGTGAATCTAATATGGTTAACGTAAGTATTGAAATTTTCTGTATTTTAAATAACTTTATTTGAATATTATTACTCGATTATTAGCCTCTCAACCATATTCCCTATGATATACAAGGAATAATGAATAAATACATACTTCAAAACTACAATCATTCTTAAAAGTTCTGAATTGCTTCTCTAAGAAGGTTGGTTTTCAGATCACCTTGATTATTCTGTAGATTGAATCCTTCACATACAATGACATGCACGTTTTAACTAACATAATGTTTGATACAGAATAATGCTCCAATTCAATCACTTTTATTTTTAATTAATTCCTAGCATTATGTTATTTATTGTCATTGTGCTTGAAATCCGAATGATATAGAAGATTTTTATTATTATAGGTCGGATACATAAAAAAATATTTTTATTTAACTGAGAAGGAGTTGGTTAAAAATAATATCGAAAAGTGGTAAATAACTTAAAAACTATATAGCCTGAACCTATTACTTTTTCTTTACCAAGCAGCTACCCATCAAAACTTAATTATGTTTATTTCGGTAATAATTCTTAACAGCTGACATTTTGATAAGTAAGTTCTTACTTTTATTTGTATCTAACCTAAAGTAAATGTGGTGAGAATAATACTTAAACATTCTGATGCACAATGAAGAACAACAAATTCCACTCTTATAAAATTACGAGTAATTTAGCAACCTTGAAGGATTAGAATTCTGTCATCTCTGTTCATTTTCGAATTTTACACACTTTCGCGTCGTTTAGAGATTCCACCTAGAATGTGTTCAATGTGATCTTGAAACCAGCCATCATCTTAGAGTACCAATTTGGAATCTACCTTCTAAGAAATTAAATTTAGAATTATTTTCTAAATATATGGATCATTCGATCCAATAAAGAGTGTTAATGGGGACAGCATATCTATTTATCTACCTTCTAAGAAATTAAATTTAGAATTATTTTCTAAATATATGGATCATTCGATCAAATAAAGTGTGTTAATGGGGACAGCATATCTATTTATTAAGTAATTATTTTGTTGAGAAAAAATAAGCATTGTAATTATAAAATGCAAAATTTAAATTTTGTGATGATTTTTTTTTTTTAAATCTTCCATTCATTGGTCGATGAGCTAATACATGAGTATGATTTTTTTTTTTTTTTTATGATTTAAAAATTAATTTATTATAAGTGACATTAATTGCTCATATATTTCATCAACTTCTGGTTTTATATTTACTATCACTTAGTAAATATTTGGTACTTGCTTCACTTAGTTAAAAACATTCAAACCAAGGCTATTAATAGTGCTTTTGTTTATTTGTTTTAAAGTCTTTGATAGCTATTGATTAAGATGGCGAAGGATAATCATTTCAGATAGAATGATTAAATGATGAAGTGGAGTACTTGGAGTGAAGATGGTTTCAAGGGCATCACTGACAATTATTACACTCTATTGTTCCGTTTTTTACTGATAGTTCATAAATTATTATCCTGCAGGTCATTTTCCTAACTATTTCGTAATAGTAAATACTATGATTTCTGGAAATAATTATCTCTGAATATTGTACTAATTATATTAACAGTCTTAAGGGTAGCATAAACAAATTTGTTACCCACAATACCTCATTAGTAATTATGATTACATTAAAATGTAGAAGTTGATAATTATGTATGTTATAATATTGCTTAATCTGGCAGGAAAAAAAAGTTAATATTTCAAGGATATCAGTAATTACGAAACTGTTGATTTCCTTTTAAGCATATTAACAATAAATCAACTGAAAATCTTTATTTCCTACTAATTAATATATATATTTTATAACATAATTGATCATAGTTATGCAACAATGATCCAACTTGGGCAATAGGCTAGATCTTGACACCTTATGCGTATTACAAAAGAGATACAGGAGGCAGTGTATACACTTGGATCACTTTTGTGACATGTAAAATATGTCAAAATTAGGGTGAAAACTTTTATTGGGCTTTTTTTTGTAAAGTTTCAGTTTAGCAGTTACCTTGATACTTTTAAAGGAAAAACTTCTTAAAATAAAAGTTCTAAGGAACTTTATTGTAAAAAAGTTTTAGGTTTTATTCAAGTTCTTAAAATACTTTAATTTAAATTAAAAATAAACTGTAATTGAGCTTTAATTAGAGTTATAATTTGTCTTACTTGAATTACACATGAAACTAATATGTCATTTGTTTGAGTAACAGAATAAAAATCATTTTTTAGATGTGATTTTCAGGAAAATCGACAAATTTTGTATAAAAGCTTTTTAAAAATAAAATTTCAGTAATGCTTTGTTTTGAATGTTACATGGGGAAAAGTTCTAGTTTTCCAAAAGAACTGAAAAAATTTGGACAGTAAAAATTTCAGTGATACCAAAACTTTTTTAAAATAATTTTTTTTTTGTTCTGTTTCAAACTATGGTCAAATTTAAGACTATTGCTACAATAACTCAATCGAAATTATGGGTTGGATTTTTTTTCCAATAGCCAATTAATAGTGTAAGATATTTTTTATAGCTGATATTGTAAATTTTATCAATTTTTATGTACTAACCAATAATTATTATTATAAAGAAAGGAGATGGTCTGGGGTGGCGGTCATAAATAGTGGTAAAACTATTTTATTTTACCAGTTTTACAACTATTTAGCCTATTTATGACCGCCACCCTGAACCATTTCCTTCCTTTATAATGCAACGGTCAACTATTAAATATTCAATTATTATTATAATACAGCCTAAAAACGGGACTTGAAATGAAAAGTTATCTTTTATTTCTAATTAATTTTCTGTTATTTCAGCATTGTCATCCTTTTCCCATCGAAATTTTCATTTAAAGATTTTATAGAACTTTTATTTAAAAGTTCTGTTGAAGAAATTTATTTTGCCAAAAAGTAAATTTAAAAAATGGTAACAGTGCAGTGCATTCTTAATATGAGAATCAAGCAATTCATTAAAAATGAATGATATCAGTAATCTAAGCCCAATTACTGCTTATTTCTCATTTAATGTATTTATTTATTTTTTGCAGTTAAATAAATAAAGGTTAAAAAAAAGTTCTAGAAAAGTTTCGAGCCCTGATAAAAATTGTGCAGTCCATTTTTGCTTTCTCTTTCCATTTTTCCACACTTATATTGGATTGGAGTGATTGGATTTTGAAATGACGTGATGGAGTTTAGAACAGATAGAATATAAGCCGCTGTGCATCACTCCAAAAAAAAAACATTTCATATTCACCATTTTCTTGAATGGCTGTAGTGGAATTATTATATAATTATAGTTTCATTAAGATCCCATTATATATAGATATTTACTCTGATTATATTTCATTTATTTGTCTTTTAGTTTCATTCTTAAACAATATGATAGTAGTTAAAAGAATATAAGTACTTTTTTTGTCATTTTTATGTGGGATCAGAATAGACACTCTTAGATGCTGAATTTGTGATTCTATCGTATGGATATTTGTCCTGTTTAATTTATTCTCTAACTTATGTAGGTTACTTAGTCTAGACTTAAGAGAACTTAAAAAGTGTTGGTTAAATAACGTTTCCCACCTTAACAGTGTCCGCTAATTTTCTCTGCTGTTAAAATTTAACATACTCTGCCAGGATGTTAACCTAGCTCGTTCAGAATAGAATGTCAGCGCTGTATGCAGTAGGCTATCTCATTTCCTATAGGAATAATTATACAATCTTTTACGAAACTAAGTTTCCAAATTTTACCTTAATCTAATTATATCTTATCTTGATAATAAAGGAATTTTAAAATTTTATATATTTACATGAAAATTCATTTAAGAGTTAATACACATCATGATGGTTTGCAGAAGCAGAACGAAATGAGGAGGAAAGGAGATTTTGCTTCGAACGGAGAGAACTTGAAGGAGAACAAGGAAAAATACGCGACCCGCCAGAAAGAAAAAGAAGAAAGAGAATCTATAGTCATTTGGAAGAAGCCGATTATCACGGTTAACTATTTCATCAGAGAACTCTTTCTCACTTCTATTTCATTTACGCAGAGGACACTCAGTTATCGTAAAAGTTTATTTGCAGGTGTTATCATTTGTTCGTGCATAGCAGTATTATTAAACTTGAAGGGACCACATGAAGTTTTTATAGAATTGGCTAAAAAGAAAGTATTATGGAGTTTTTATTGGATCGGTTTAGGAGTTTTATCTTCGATAGGTCTCGGTACTGGTCTTCACACTTTTATCCTTTATTTAGGACCTCATATAGCTTCTGTTACTAGAGCAGGTTATACGTGCGGTGCGTTAAATTTCCCCGAACCTCCATATCCTGATTCGATTTTATGCCCTGAAAAATTGGATCCCTCATGGCTCGTAAGCATCTGGAATATTATGATGAAGGTTCATTTGGAAGCTATCATGTGGGGGGCTGGTACCGCCTTGGGAGAATTGCCTCCGTATTTCATGGCCAGAGCAGCGAGACTATCAGGCCACGACCCGGACGATGAAGACGAATTGAAAGAATTCGAAGATTTGCAAAAGAAAAAAGAAAATCCCGAAGGATTGGAATTATTAGATAAAGCGAAGATTATGGTCGAAGAGCTAGTTAACAAGATAGGTTTTCTTGGAATTTTAGTATGTGCTTCTATACCGAATCCACTGTTTGACCTTGCCGGTATAACATGCGGACACTTCTTGATTCCTTTTTGGACATTTTTCGGTGCTACCTTGATTGGAAAGGCAGTTATAAAAATGATGTTACAGTCAATGTTTGTCATAATAACATTTAGCGACGTATTAATAGAAAGGTTAATGTTTTTCTTACAAAAGATACCATTTTTCGGTTTACAATTACAGAAACTTTTACAGAAATTACTTGAAATGCAAAAGAACAAGCTGCACGGTGATAAATCTAAGGTCGAATCTGGAAGCAATCCTTTAGCGTCTGTTTTTGAAACATTCGTTTTTATTATGGTATGCTATTTCGTAATTTCTATAATTAATTCTTTGGCTCAGAGTTACCATAAAAGATTATGTAA